CACACACACACACACACACTGTTGTGGTCACCCCCTTAAGGTTCCTTCCATAGCCTTCTTTTTTCATAACCTTTCCCTCAGGACACAGAGCAGGGTATGTTTGTGGAAGGACCTCTGGGTTTGAGGTTATCAGAGACATCATTCCAAATCTCCAGTCCAACACCTGCTAGCTGTGTAACCACGGGAAACAATCAATAAACACTCATTTATGAAGAGCTAACCATGTGCTAGGCACTGTGTTGGTCACTGAGGATCCAAGGGCAGGCCAGCCATTTCATGCCACGGGTTCTTTCTTTATTAGTAAAATACCCACAGTGCCTTCCTCATTAAAGGCAGTATGGTGCAGCAAATGGAAATCTAGCCCCCAAAGCCAAGAGGACTTGAGTGTGAGACCTACCTCTGATACATGATGGTCATGGGACTGATTGAGTTACCTATCCTCCCAGCCCTCTAGGCCAGTGGTGTCAAAATGAAAGAGGAATAGATCTCTGCAGGGGCATATTAATTTATTGTTCTTGTTCAGTCATTCAGCTGTGTTTGACTCTTTATGACCCAATTTGGGGTTTCTTGGCAATGATACTGGAATGTTTTGCCATTTCCTTCTCCAGCTCTTTTTACAGATGAGGAAACTGAGGCAGATAGGATTAAGTGACTTACCTAGGGTCACCCAGCTAGTAAATGTCTGAGGCTAGATTTGACCTTAGGTCTTCCTGACTCCAGGGCCAGCACTCTATCCACTGAGCCACCTAGTTGCCCCTGTACCACCTAGCTGTCTTATATTGACTATGAAAATAAAAAAAATATTATTATGTTGCATTGTATTTTAATTACCTTGTTAAGATTTTCCCAATTGTATTATAATCTGATGGGGAATGGGGAGTTTTCTGGTGGGCCCAAGCTTGACACTTAATACTCTAGGAAACTTTCTGAGATGATAAGTGGCAGACAAGATATTGACCTATGTTAGTAAAGGGAACTTCGTCCTTTGGGAGTTACCCACACTAATGAAACCCCAGGTCTAGTTCCTCTCACTCCCTACTTCAAAGCTGCTGGTGATCTTGGTGAAAGTAATTTCAATGGAAAGGTTAGATTGATTAAACACCAGATTGCAAGGAGTGAAGAAGGAAGTAAGAGCTGCAGAACTGGGTTCTGGAAGGGGACACAGCTCTTTCTAGGAGTTTATCAGTGAGAGGGAGAAGAAACATAGCATAAATGCTTGAAGGCATGGCAACATGAAGGGAAGAGTTTCTGAGGAGGAAGGGGCCCTGTGCATGTTTGTAGATAATGGGTTTATCATCTTTTATGCCTTTTCTTTGATGTCAGGCATCATTGCTAACAAATTGTAGCCGGTCTAATCCCTCCATGGATGTCTCTATCATCTTTTGGAGATCCACATTTATTGATTCTATAATGACTGCAGTATCCCATGATCCCAACCAAGGAGCAGTATGTGAAAGATAATGGCATTGAAAGGGTAAGGTTATTTTGGAGTCAGGGAGTGCCTGGGGATTATTGGAAGCACTGCACATGTGTCCAGATTGATTGTATTTTATTCCTTCTAGTTCATTCTGGGCCAACTCCTTGCTTATCCGCAGCATGCGTGCTGCTGGGCTTCTTCAGGGGGCTCTCCATCCAACTTTGTGTCATGTTTGGGCCACAAGAATTCTTCATCCATTGGTTTGTCCCCATGTAGATTCTTAGGCTGAGCTCTTCTGTGAACTGGCCATGCGTCTTCCCAGGAGGCTCCTGTAGCCGGGCGCCTGTAAATAATTGCGTAGCTCTTGGCACTCAAAAGATGATCAGTGAGTGACCAAAACTACTGAAAGGACTTTACTCTGTCAGTCTGGGACTTCTCACTACAAAAGAAGCCAGGAGGTTCAAGGAGTCACAGCTAAATGGAAGGGTGGGGTTCCGAAGCCTGTCTTAAAGAGGCGCCTAAAGGAAGTGGTGGGTTTGTCCTATATCCCAAGCAAACAAAAAGCATCTTCTCTGAGTCTTGGTCAGCTACTACAGTAACGATAATAAGCACGTGTGCAATGACCTGGATGAAGATGACCTTAACTTACACAGCAGCATGTGGGGCAGAAGATAAGCAGGCTGAGAAACTCTGGGAAGAACTATTTAAGCTTCTTCAAATATGGTCAGTCTGTACTTTGACAGCAACTTCTACGCCAAAGCGGGCATGGGTCAAAATGATGAAAAATATTGTTCAGGAATAAAAAAAAAATGTTTCACCTACATATCAAGAAGAGGCAGAAAGCACTAGACATCACCAAAACCAAATAATAATAATAGCTATTATTATTATTACAACAACTAGCATTTGTATTATGTCTACTATGTATTAGGCATTGTACTAAGTGCTTTATAAATGTATCTCATTTGATCCTCACAAGAATTCTGTGAGGCACTACTATTATTCTCATTTTAGAGTTGGGAAAATGGAGGCAGACAGAGGTTAAATGACATGCTTAAGGTCACTCAGCTAGTAAATTGCATTTGAACTCAGGTCTTTTTTTACTCCAGGCCCAGTGCTCTACTCATTGAGACACCTGGCTGCCAAAATAAGATGACAAAAAATTGAAACTGATTAAATTTGTACAGAGAGACGATAACAGATATGTGCAAACAGACCATAAATTTGTGACAACAATGATCAAAAAGTATACCAATTAGAAAAAAATGAAAAAAAATAATTAAAACATTTGTAACCTAACCAAATTTAAGTAAACTAGTAATGCTGAAAAAAATGACTAAAAGAATATTCATTAAGACAAACTATCATGACTTTGTAAGGGATTTTAGCCATTATAAATTAATTACCACATTGACAATAGCAACAACAAAAAAAAAGCCTAAAACCTGAGCCATCAATCACATGATCTCCTTGCTAAGAAGGGAATGAAAGTTTAGAATATCAACTTGTCTGAATAATCCTGTAGGTTAGGATTTGGAGAAGGTTATGGGTAGTGTCATGTCATAAAATAGTGAGAAACAATGGAGGAGAAAGCAAGTTTGTGCAAAGTATGCTAAATAAATAGACATTGACCTAGTGATGCACTTAAAATTGCAAATGAGACATATGTTTTCAGACATGGTCAAGGTATTGATTAATTCAACTTTCTTTGTTATATTATGTGGTAAGTAATAGAGATGTAAGAAAAGGAAGGAAGGAAGGAAGGAAAGAAGGAGGGAAGGAAGGAAAGGAAGGAAGGAAGGAAGGAAGGAAAGAAGGGAGGGAGGGAAGGAGGAAAGAGAGGAGGGAGGAAAGGAAAGAAGGGAGGGAGGGGTGGAAGGAGGAAGAAAGAAAATATCAATAAAACTTTCCAAAATGCACAGATGAAAACAAAAAGAAGTTCAGATGAAGACACAAAGAAGCCCAATTTTGTTACTGTTGTTTAAAGTTTTCATTCACTGAAAAACTTTATGTAACAGAAGCTCACATTTCCTGAGTTAATCTTCCTCTTTATTACAATTTTTATATTGAAATGTTCATTGATCATCAATTTCATAATTAAAAATGTTTTTTCAAAAAGAACATGTTAAGCTACATTTTCCCGAGAGGATTTTAGAAGGAACTTGGAAGGGTGATAAATGAGAAGAATGAAAAAGAACCTTCATTGAAACTCTGTCATAACAAAGTTCTCTCTTTTTTTTTTTTTTGGTCTTTGCTGGGCAATGGGTTAAGTGACTTGCCCAGGGTCACACAGCTAGTGTGTGTTATGTGTCCGAAGCCGAATTTCAACTCAGGTCCTCCTTACTCCAGGGCTGGTACTGTATCCACTGCGCCACCTAGCTGCCCCACAAAGTTCTCTTTCAAATAATTATGATGGAGTCTCCCATCCCAGTCCCTAATGTGTGACTTGAGGAAATAGAAATGGAACTAGAACAACAAATATGGGAAGAGGTACTGGACATGGAAGCCACACAATTTGAGTATTGTTGAGAGATCGGTCTCAAGATAACTGAAGGAGATAAGGATACCAATAGCTTGGTAAAGCTCACAAAACAGTCCAAAAGATGGTGATTGAGAAAATTTTTAAGAACTATAGACCTGTGTGACTATTGTTGAATCGGTTTGAAATATTTATAATGATAGTCTGTATGCACATTGAGGTCATGAAGGTAGAAGGAAACAAAACTGTTTTGGAAAAAGATATTTTCAAATAACAGTCTACATCTATGTAGTTACACAGTGATGGAATTATGCAGAGAATTCAAAACCTCATTCTGCTTCTTGATTGGTGATTATTAAAAAGGTGTGACGGAGTGGGGAATTTTATTCCACAGAACAAGATACTGCCTTAAAGGCTTCATTAAAGTCATAAAAGATACTTTGAAAGATACAAAGGGGAAATTTTTTTGGACGATAATCATTAATATCAGGGAAAGTATAAAGCAAGGAGAGATTTGTTCACTAATGGGGATTGCAGATTTCATGGAGAATGTCCAATACAGGGTTCAGATAGAAGAGAGATTCCTTTTAGATGACAAGTCTCTCTGGCTGCTTCTTTTTACCATTAACATGATTCTGCCTGCATCAAGACCTGGACCTTTTTTTTAAAGCTTCTGAGTTGGGCTACAAGGGTCAGTAGAAATTATTAAAAAGAATTTCCTTAGCTATTCACACAGGAAAAACAAAATGGATTAAGTATGCTTACATCCAGATTGTTATATTTGATTATGAAAACCCATAGATCTCACCCTTTAGTATACACACACACACACACACACACACACACACACACACACATACATATACATACATACACATCTTAGACAGATTCCTCACACGGACAGTGGCACAGGTCAATAATTGAATATGAGTAGGAGAGAGGACTGGTGTGCCTTTGGGAAATTGTACAATGCTTTTATTGATTACAAATTTCTCTCTGACACTAGGGTCCATTTTTTTTAATATCAATTTTTTTTCCTGATGACTCTGTACGTCTTTGAATCAATCAACAAGCATTTATTTAGCCCCCTCCTTTATGCTGGGTGTTGGGCACATGCCTGGGGATACAAAGACAAATAAAGCAGGGAAGCATGGGAAACCAGTCTGAGGAATCAAAGTTTAAGGTAACTTGAAGGGCAAAGAAAAGAATTGATGGGGCAGGGTGGGGGCGGGTGGAAAGGAGATCAACAAATTTGAGAATTATGCAGAACAAGCAGACAGAAAAAGAGCTGTTATCAAGAAAAGGAGATGTTCCAGTCAGGCAGCAAGAGGAAATAGATAGGCAGGCCACCAGCAAAACTCCATTAGTGCTCACTAAATGGAAAGAGAGAGAGAGAGAGAGAGAGAGAGAGAGATCAACCTGTCGATCCACAAGTTAAGTGAGTGCCTACTATGTGCCAGGTACTGTGCTAAGTGCTAGAAATACAAAGAAAGTCAAAAGATAGTCTCTGTTCTCAAAGATATAATAGTCTAATATTGACAACCCTGTAACAGTTAGGTACAAACAAAACATGTACAGGATAAAGTGGAGATAATGACAGAGGGAAGAGACTAACATAAAGGGGAATTGGGAAAAGCTTCCTTTGAAAAGTAGAATTATAGCTGGGATGTAAAGGAAGCTAGGGAAGATGGGAGAAAGAAAGAAAAAGAAAGAAAGAAAGAAAGAAAGAAAGAAAGAAA